CATACCTCAACATCATAAAACCCATATATGAAAGACCCACAGCTAATATCGTCCTTGATGGGGAAAAACTGAACGTTTTCCCCTGAGATCAGGAACATGACAGGAATGTCCACTCTCACCACTGTTGTTTAACATAGTGATGGAAGTCCCAGCCTCAGCACTCAAGACAATAAAATGAAATAAAAGCATCCAAGTTGGCAAAGAAGAACTCAAACTTTCACTTTTCATACATGACATGATACTCTACATGGAAAACCTCAAAGACTCCACCAAAAAATTGCTAGAACTGATACAAGAAAACAGTAAAGTCGCAGGATATATTATCAATGCACAGAAACTGGTTTCATTTCTATATATGAAGCAACAGAAAGAGATATCAAGGAATCAATCCCATTTACAATTGTACCAAGAGCCATAAAATACCTAGGAATACACCTAACCAAAAAGGTAAAAGATCTGTATGCTGAAAACTATAGAAAGCTTATGAAAGAAATTGAAGAAAACACAAAGAAATGGAAAAACATTCCATGTTCATGGATTGGAAGAGCAAATATCGCTAAAACATCTATACTACCCAAAGCAATCTACACATTCACTGCAATCCCAATTAAAATAGCACCAGCATCTTCTCAGAGCTGAACAAACAATCCTAATATTTGTATGGAACGATGAAGGACCCCGAATAGCCAAAGTAATGTTGAAAAAGAAAACCAAAGCCAGAGGCATCACAATCCCAGACTTTAGCCTATACTACAAAGCTGCCATCATCAAGACATTATGGTACTGGCACAAAAACAGAGACATAGACCAATGGAATAAAGAACCCAGAAACTGACCTACAAATGTATGGCCAACTAATCTTCAACAAAGCAGGAAAGAGTATCCAATGGAAAAAAGACAGTCTCTTTAGCAAATAGTGCTGGGAGAACTGGACAGCAATAAGCAGAAGAATGAAACTGGACCACTTTCTTATACCATACACAAAAATAAATTCAAAAAGGATGAAAGACCTAAATATGAGACAGGAAGCCATCAAAATCCTCTAGGAGAAAGTAGGCAACAACCTTTTTGACTTCAGCCCCAGCAACTTCTTATTTGACATGCCTCTGAAGGCAAGGGAAATAAAGGCAAAAATGAACTATTAGGACCTCAACAAGATACAAAGCTTCTGCACAGTGAAGGACACAATAAAACTAAAAGGCAACCAACAGAATGGGAGAAGATATTTGCAAATGACATATTGGATAAAGGGTTAATATCAAAATTCTATAAAGAACTTACCAAACTCAACACCCAAAAAACAAATAATCCAGAGTAGAAATGAGCAGAAGACATGAATAGACACTTTTCCAAAGAAGACATATAGATGGCTACCAGACACATGAAAAGATGCTCAACATTGCTCACCATCAGGGAAATACAAATCAAAACCATTTTGAGATATCACCTCACACCAGTCAGAGTGGCTAAAATTAACAACAGATGTTAGCAAGGATGTAGAAAAAGGGGAAACCTCCTGCACTGTTGGCGGGAATGCAAACTGTGCAGCCACTCTGGAAAAGTGTGGAAGTTCCTATAAAAATTAAAAATAGAATTACCCTACAACCCAGCAATAGCACCACTAGGAATTTATCCAATGGATACAGGAGTGCTGATGCATAGGGGCACAAGTACCCCAAAGTTTACAGCAGCACTTTCAACAATAGACAAATTATGGAAAAGGCCCAAAAGTCCATCAACTGATGAACGGATAAAGAAGATACAGATACACAAACACACACACACACACACACAGGAATACTACTTGGAAATGAAAAAGAATAAAATTTTGCCATTTGCAACAATATGGATGGAACTGGATGCTAAGTGCTAAGTGGAGTAAGTCAGTCAGAAAAAGACAGATATCATATGTTTTTACTCATATGTGGAATTCGAGAAACTTAACAGAAGACCATAGGGAAGGGAAGAAAAAATAAGTTACAGAGAGGGAGGCAAACCATGAGACTCATAAACAGAGAACAAACTGAGGGTTAATGAGTGTGGGGTTAGGGGTGAGCAGGAAAAATAGGAGAAGGGTACACAGAAGGGTGCTTGTTGTGATGAGCACTGGGTGTTGTATATAAGCAATGAATCATGGGAATCTACTCCTGAAACCAAGACTACACTGTATAAATCTGCCAAAAATGAAAGAGGGTATTACTGTGAATGCTATTATAAATCACAGTGAAAATATAACACTGACAATAAAATAATTTGATTTTAAAAAAGAAAAGAAAATAGCATGTGGGAACAGGGACCCAGAAAAGTTCTTTTTGTCAGAGAAAATTTGACTTCTCATTAGCCCAATAAAAGCCAAGGTAGAGATCAGTCTGGAGAGCCTGATGGAATAATCTCAGGGACCCGTCATTATATATTTCCACTCTAAAGTTTTTTATATGATACAGGGCTTACTGCCCCTCTCTCAACATCATACTTCCTTACTGAATTACTCTTGCTTCTTTCACTCTTTCAGTAAACCAGTATAATCACTTGTACCTAAAACTCTTTTATTACTATTTGCAGAATATAAAATTAGACACCAAAACCATAATGAAAACACAACAGTATCACTTTGAATAATGCCTATACATGCAACTTCAGAATTTCATCTGTATGAAGTCTCAGACTTAATATGTACTTACAGCCAAATGCATTGAGAAATCATGACATTATCTTATTCATAAGATAAAGACATCTACTTCATATATTCTTTTTAATTCAGAATATCATGAGGGAAATGTGAATCACTGGAGAGCTTCTCATGAAAACACTAACAAAATCTTCCTATTCATATAAGCACCAACACAGTAAAGAATATTCAGTTACTTCTTTTACCTGTAGAAGTGAAAATGCTAAGTATGGTGTGAATCCTTAACTAACACAAGAAATGCCAATTATTTTTAGTACAAACTAATATATTTTATACCAGTTTAAACTGTAAAATTGGAGGATGGCAAGAGTCATCTTTACTTTGAAGTTTTACTGCTGTCTCATAATCTACAATCATATCACTAGGTTTTACTGTTCTTGTATATAGAAACTGGAGTATAAAATGATGGAATGAAAGAGATTACCCAGTTATCCACTAATTAATACTGTTCCTGCATAACCAACTGGAAAGTAGAAAGAACTTTGGTCTTAACAGAAAGTTTTACTCTTCTAGTTTTTATTATGGCTTCTTAGCTAGCTGTTTGTTTTCAGATTTCTTATAATGTCATAGACATTTAAATTAGGAAAATTAATGACACCACTGGCCCCTTGAAAATTTTAATGAATAGTATTTGGTCTTTCAAGGGTGAAAACTAGATTAGTCATCAGATTTCAGATTTCTCAGCAGAAACAATTTCATTCTTTAGAAAAACAATAAAACTAAGAAACTACAAAATACAAATAATCACTACCAGATAAATATCAACATTAGATTTGAAATGCAAAGTATAAAACAAAGCACCGGTATCCTTAACTTCAGTGATTATACTTCAATACAATAAACCTACATTTTAGGCTGGAAATCTTTCATTCCTATTTTCCACAAGAAAAATTTTAAATGAAATTCCTTTACGTCTGCTAAAATTGCAGATTCAAAACCTTTCATCATCATAAGAAGTATAGATCAACAGATCTCTTGACAAAATTAGCTGTTGAATGGCTTCTAATTGGTTTCTCAACTTCAAATCATTGCTAATTTCAAACTTAAAACTTTGCCCTGGTAGTTGAGGTGCCTGAGCTCCACTGCAAACTTGGCTGCTGACTTTGAGACTTTGGGCAAGTTGCTTATCTTGTGCTCCAAGTGTCCTCATTTTTTTTTATATATATTTTATTACTTTAGATTTTAGATTTTATTATTTAGAGTCACACGCCCCACTGACTGACCAGACAGGCACCCCTCTAGGGTCCTCATTTTAAATGAATAATATAATCCTGTCCCATCTCACTGTTATACCAAAAGTAACATCATGTAAATAATTTAAAGCTATAAAGAATTTTTTAATAAAAACGGCTATTATATAAGTATTTATAGTTTTCCAGCACTGTATTATCAATGGACTCAAATGATCCAATGTTCGTAGAGCTTCTTACACATCAAACAATCATGGAACAGTCTTCTCACTGATTAAAAATAGATCAGTTTGATCCAATTAGAAATTGGTAAAGGAAGGTGAATACATTCTAATTCTTAATCCCAAATAAAGAGTGCAATAAATACATAATGCAGATGTGTTTGTACATAGAATGTTTCACATAATTGCACATACCAAGTTTTTTTTTTTAACAAATTCGACTAGCATTATTGAATACAGAACAAAATTGATATTTCTTTCCATCCTGAAAAAATCGTGTGAAAAGTACATAAAGAATGATAAACACACAGTCTTTTTTTTTTTTTTTTTGGCAAAATTAGGAGACAAAAGAAAATTGGTTGAAAGGCTGCCCAAACAATAGAGATAGAGTAGGGGCAAATGCTGTAGGCAGGAGAAGGAAAATTCTGCAGTTGTTGATGTCAGAAAGAACAAATTTCACTTCTTGAATGTGATGGGCACAACTTAAAAGTATAAATCCCTTATTTCTCTCAGCAGAAACTAGGTACATGGGCTGATAGCCAGGGCTCTCCTGGATGTAGTTTGGTCCCAAAAAGTAGAGGGGGGCAGTGTTACATAAAATATCATATAAATAAACTATATTTGCTAAAAAGAAATCTGTCTCTGTGGCTCTGAGAGAAGAGAGACTATCTCCATTGACTAGGGCAAAGTAAAGAGGAAAAAAGAGGAAAATCTAATAGCCAGAAACAATGTTCACACACACAAAAATGTTACTACAGAGCAGATGAAAATCATGCCAAATACTTCACCATAAATTAATGAAACTTAATTATGCAATCAACTCTAACTTGGGATTTACAAAAAATTCATAAAATTTTACTGACTAGAAGGATAAGGACTTAAACTAGAATACTCACTCACCTCTGATTCATATTTTATTTTTTCTTCTTCTAGGATACGTGCAAATTCTTCTTTCTGGTGTTCAAATTCTGATTTGAGAAATGTATGTTCATAGCGGAGCTTATTATATTCAGCTCTATACTTTTCCACTTCCTAAATTAAAAGATTTCAATATTTGACAAGTTTATAAATGAAATTTGTACTTACTCCAAAAATCACTTCTGCAAATATAATTTTTAATTGCATTATATTGAAAGCCATTCTAAACAGTAAAAATAAGCTTAACAGAAGTATAAATAAATCCTGAAAAAATTCTTATGAAAAGTATCCTACACACAGAATCAGTACATTCTTGAGAAGGTGCCAATAAAGCAAATTATCATTCAATTAACCCTATTTCCTCACTGATTCTCATATTAATAAAAATGAATAGCACATCAACAGTTTTGACCTCTGGGCTTAAAAATCAAATATTTAAGAATGTAGTACACCTTTCAAAATATAAAATTAACTCTATAGTAAAATAGAAAATAGCCCCCTGAAAGTCAAACAGGATGAATTCAAAGTAAAGATTATTTGAATATTTAGTGCAATAATTTAAGGTTCAATCAAATATTACAATGATAGGAGCACCTGGGTGGCTCTGTGGGTTAAAGATCGGACTCTTGATTTCAGCTCAAGTCATGATCTCACAGGTGTGAGATCAAGCCCCTTGAAGGGATCCACACTGGTGTAGGACTGCGTAAGATTCTCTCTTTCCTTCTGTCTCTTCCCTACTCATACACACATATTCTCTCTTTCCAAAAATAAAAACAAAATAAATTTATAATGTATATTACATAATAAAAAATATATATTATATTACAATGATAGTTCAACACACCAGTCTAAAGAATATATGTAGCACCAACTTTTCTAAACAGGAATACATGCAATTCTCTGGTAGACTTCCAATTCTGCTTACTAACACCACAAACATTGCTGTTATTCAAAATTCAGTAAGAACTCAGGCAAGAGAGAATCTGGAGATACTATTTCAACATTCATCAGGTAATTAAGTAATAAGAATGTCTCCTAAAATATTCAACTCACTGTAAATATTCAGTTGAAAGACTTTCTAAGCTAGTTTACAAACCAAGAAAATGGGTTTCATTATTTATTCAAAACATACTTTTTTGTTTTTTTTTTTTAAGGTTTTACTTAAAAACCTTAAATCACCTATTTAGGTCTAAGTGGCTTTGTTTACAACCCCAAATTATGTCTCAACCACAATGCTTTGGTTATCCACCAGGAGGATATTCAAAAGACAACTTTATCAAGCCAGTAAGCCATTTATAAAAGCGGATTCTACAACTGTTTTGTGAAGTGCAGCATCACTAAACTACAGCTTTCCAAAAGAATTCATCTTGAAGGGGACAATATTCATTTGTTATGTGTAAGGCCTGGTCTATTTCTTAATTTAGGTTGCATATCTAAGTTGTCTAGCCTAGTACTTAATATATGTCATCTTTTCCTATTCTATTAAACATTTAGTCCTATTATACTGATATTTCACAAAAGGAAGGAAATATTTCAATCTAAAGGGAAACTGTAACAAATTTTTATTCTTATGAGGTTGCATGAAATATGCTTTTTCAGGGGCGCCTGGTTGGCTCAGTCAGTTAAGTGTCCAACTTCGGCTCAGGTCACAATCTCACAGTCCGTGGGTTCAAGCCTCGTGTCGGCTCTGTGCTGACAGCTCAGAGTCTGGAGCCTGCTTCTGATTCTGTGTCTCCCTCTCTCTGCCCCTCCCCTGCTCGCTCTGTCTCTCAAAATAAAGACACTAAAAAAAAAATTTTTAAAGAAATATCCTTTTTCATTCCACAAATATTATTCGAGCACCAATTGTATGCTAGGAACCATTCTAGGAACTTGGAATATACAATGAACCAAACAGATAAAGGTTTCTTCTCTCATGCAACCTAAATTCTAGAGATGGTAATAAAGTAAATGAAAAATAAGCACAGTACGTATTATACAGCATATTAGAAGATGATTAGTACTAGAGAAAAATAAAAAGTACAGCAGGGTAAATGGGGATCCAAGGTCTAAGAAGTGATGGGAAAGGCAAGAAGCAATATTAAATGGAAATACAGGTTAGTCAAAGTCGCCCTTATTGAGAAAGTGACATTTCAGCAAAGACTTAAAAGAGATAAGGAAGTTGGCCAAAAGATATCTGGAAGGACACTGTTCATGACAGAAGAGTGAGCTAACGCAAAGATTCTTGATTTGTTCCATTTCTGGAGCGCCACAGAAACATCAAAGAGGCCAAGGTGGATGGAGGAAAGGAAGTCAGACAGACTATGGGAACTGATTCGTGCAGCCCTAAAAGTAAGGACTACTGAGTTAGAACGAGAGCTACTGCAGGGCTTCTAAGTAGGGGAATGATGCTTTTGATAAGTCACATAAAGATAAATGCACAGTTCGTTCTATATATATTACTTACTTCATCCAGATTCCTAAAACGGTCCCTCATTGGAGTTTCTAATTCTTGTTGTATTTGAGCTCGTAACAGTTCCAACTTTTGGGGAGTTAATACCTAATATGTAGAGAAATGTAAAACAATTCTAAATATGCGTTCACAAATATTAAAATCAAGAATTCACCAAATTTCAACACCTAACTATAACAAAATTCAATTCATAGAAATTATGCAATATTCTAATTTTACAGTAATCATTATATAAATAGAACCATTATCTGAAGTAGTACTTTAAGATCACAATTTCAGAGTCTCAGAGACGTCAAAAATCCCATTAACATGAGGTAAAGATACTCCCTGATTATTATTACTGTAACTGTTGGGAATAACCATGTTTGCAGCCTAGGTTACCACGCTTGATACAATGGCTAATTGATTTCTAAAGCAATTAGAATAAAGGCATAATAATTTGGTATATCACAGAGAATTCCTCAGACTTTTTTCCTTTTTTTTTTTTTTAAGTTTATTTAGTTTTGAGAGAGAGATGGAGAGTGAGTGGGGGAGGGAGACAGAGAAGGTGACACAGAATCCAAAGCAGGTTCCAGGCTCCAAGCTGTCAGCACAGAGCCCAACATAGGGCTCGAACCCACAAACTACGAGACCATGACCTGAGCCAACAAAGTTGGATACTTAACCAGCTGAGCCACCCAGACGCCCCTCTTCAGACTTATTTTCAATCAATAAAGGCTGATTTTTATTCTGGCCACCAAAACCAGGTTTGTCCCTGTTATGCTCTCTTACAGAACTCAGATCTTAGTAAGTGATTAAGTATTATGTAAACTCCGTAAGGGCAAACACAGTCTTTATTCACCATGGTGTGTTTCCAACACTGCACACTACTGCCTGGCACATAGGACCACTCAATTACTATTTCTTGAATGAATGAATATTGGTTGTAAAACAAAAATATAGTTTATATTTATATTAACCTCTGAACATGACAAATACTCAGTTTAATTCATTTATTTATTCATCAATACTCCACACAGCCCAGAAACTTTACTGAATGCTTACTATACAAAGTATTCTGCAATATACTATATAATCTGTATAACACACTGTTCTAAATATCTTACATGTATTAACTAATTTATTTAATCCCTGCAACGATCCTCAATGTAGCTATATTATCATCCTTTTTTTTTTTTTTTAATAGAAACTGAAGCATACACAGAGTCTAACTTTCTAAAGACCACAAAAACTCACAGGAAACATTTCTCACTCTACAAGAAGTTCAAACTCTCATTTGAAAAATAACTTATACATACAAATAATTATAAAAATAACCAATATAAGTTCATCAGACAGGTAAAGGCCCACAGAAAATATTTTAAGTATAGAAAACTAAAGCTATAGTAGAACCCAAAAACTAAGAATGGATAACATTTTAAATTCCCTGGGGAGCAAAATGATCCTCAAAGTTAAGTTAAAGGCATTCTGAATTGAACCACACTAAGCACTACGGACAATTTAGAATCCTGGATCCGTGTGCATTAATGCTCTCTAGATACTGTGACAATCAAGGCCATGCTGAAACATTTCTGCCACCTAGGAGAGCCACACCCTAGCTAGGAATAAAAGGGAAAGAAGGGGGAACTACAGAGCAGAAAATTCCTAAGTATGAGGTTTCTACTCTTATAATTTACTCAGTATTCAGTAATATTACTTTAAAAAAACATCTTACTTAAAATGAATAAGATTACATAAATAAAATAATTCAAACAAAAATATTAAAAACTTAAGTCTTCTTACTTCAGTCATCCAGTTTCCCTCTTACCTATCATTGCAAATTTTTTATGTATCCTTCTTGAAACAATATAAAAATACACACACATATACCACTTTTAATTTTTACATAAGGAAAGGCATGCTATACATATTTTTCTATATCTTACTTATTCACTGAAGGTATTCAAGCTTAAGAACGGCACCACCATATCTACATTTGAGGAAGAAGCAAAATGGATCCAAACCTTTGGTGGGAGAAATTGGTGACTATTGGGGGGGGGAGGGGGAGGCAGTGAATGGAGGTGGGAACCCAGATAGAAAGCTCTTGCTATAATCTGGTTTATGATGCCAAGAGTCTGGGTGATATTATCAGGGGTACAAACTGAGAAGGGGTGGTAATTAAAAGGAACAGAGTAATAATAGATAAACCTTATTTGGATCCTGTTTCAAACAAGCCAACTTTAAAAACAAGCAAAACTGTGGGAAAATTTGGGAAATGTAAACAAACATGCAATATAAAAAGATATTAAGGAATAAGTACCTTTAAGTATCATAATGGCATTATGACTATGCTTTTAAAGGAGGGACTGTCTTGGTATGTAATAAAGATATATCCTAGACCATTTTTAGTTGAGATAATATGATTTGGCCCAAAATAATCCAGAGTGGTTGAGGGACAGAGCAGGGAGGTCAGAAGATAAAACAAGACTGACTGAGAGATGGTAATTATTGAAATTATTGATGGTGGGTGATGGGTATGTGAGGATGCAATATAACCTCCCTCTCTACTTAGGTACTTGTTTGAGACTTCTGTAATTAAAGGCTAATTAAAAATAGTAGCGCTTCCACTTCCAACAGATAGCATAAAAGAGATCAGATTTATTCTCCTCCTAAAACAAATAAGAGAATAGACAAAAATCAAATAGTTTTCAAGACAATGGGCCTAATAAAGCAACAAAGATCTCTCGAGACAAACAACAAAGAAAGTAAGCTTTGAGAACGCTTCCAGGCAATGCATAGAAAGGGATACCCAGGCAAAGTCTGGGTGGACTCTCTCACTTAGGCAAACGGAACTAAGAATCCAGGGAGAGCAGTGTGGCAAGTCACAAGACAGAGTAGCAGAAAAGAGGATGGCACACAAAGAAAATTGTGAAGACCTCCAAGAGGTCTTTGTTGACTCATTCAGTAGAGTATCCCAATCAGCACATGCATGTATGGAAAATATTTAATTAAGACCAGGAAAAGAATAATCTGAAAGAATTAGATGGATAAGTAACCTGAGCTCACACACAGCTATGAATAGTTGCTTCTCCCAAAAGCCAGACTGAAAAACTTCATTTCACTGAGAAATGAGTACTGAGAAGTTTCTGACCATTGGCACATAATGAGCACTTAACATTGACTTGCTCTCACTCAACAAATCTTAAAACTGGGGAGAGAGGCAAGATGGCGGAGAAGTAGGGAGCTCCGTATATTTTTCGCCTGCATTCATCTCTCAAACAGAGAAGGCCTGAAGTCATAGGACACTGAGCCACAGGAGTTTGGGAAGAGAAAGAGACAGAGTACACTGGGAATGAAACCTCATAAGTGCGTGAGTGTGAACTGGGGAAGATAAAAGTGGGATGGGACCCAGAAACTCGGAGGGAGGGGAGGGAACCTGGCTTGCATGCAGCTGCAGTGAGTGATTAACCGGCGAGTGGTGGGGAGCTGCCACAAGTCCAGGGGAAAGGAAAGAAAAGCTGAGATTGCTCATAGAACCATCCCTGGAGAAGAGGGGGGAAAAAAAAAACCCAGCCTGGAAAGACAGTGTTTTTTAGCTCTGGCTGGGATGCTGACTTTATACTAGGTGCCCTGGTCCCAGAAGGCGCCAGGAAAAACTGAACTGCCGTGTGCCCGGCACCATCCATGGAGGCGGCGGCCCGGTGAACCAGCAGCAACTCCTGCGGAGGCGGCCCTGGGGCCGGGTGAAGTGGCAGTGGCGCGCGAGACATCGGCCCGCTAAAGCGGCTGTGGCGGCTACCCGGTGAAGTGGCGACGGTGCCCGGTGAAGCGGCGGCTGCGTGAGCGAAAGTGGCCTGCTAAAGCGGCGGCTGCCGGTGAAGTGGCAGCAACGCCTGCGGCGGCGGTCCCAACGCCAGGTGAAGCGGCTGCGGTGTGGTGAGGCAACACGGACTCTGCGGACCTGAAGTTGCTACGTTCCCCAAACGCACTCCGGTTGTATCCGTGCTTGACCCAGGCGGATCTGAGGCTGCACAATTCCCCCACCCTCCACTCAATCCCTGGCAACAGGGAAACAGCGACAAGCAGGGCTCTTAAGGGTGGTATAACAAAGCCTCTCAGAGGTAATCAGACATAGTTTCTCTGGATAACACCACCATCTTTCTCTCACCTCTCCAACCATATTCCACCCTTTAGCTTTTTGAAAAGCAGCCTGTTCATTCTATTTCCAATTTTGCCTCATCCCTGCCCTATCATCTCTCTTTCTCTATGCTCTTCAACCGGTACTGCATACACCCGGATATTTAATTGTAGCTGGGAAATCTGGTTATATGCTTTAAACCGTTCTTTGTCTATTGGTTTCTTTTTTTTTCTTTTCTTCTTTTTGGCTTTTTTATGTATTTTTATTTTCTATCATTCACCTTCCCTCCTTCGTCTTTTCTCATTACTTTTTGGTTTCCCCTCTCGGTTAGCGTGATTGTTGGATTTGTCTGTGCGTTTGTGTCCCGCTCATCCCTGTCTGTTTATCTGTATGTTTTCTTCTTAGGGCTACCTCAACAAACGAGCCAAAGTACACATGGTGGAGAGTCCCAAATACCACAACGAGTAGGAAAATAAAATAAGGGATTTTTTTTTCAAGAGAGACCAAGGAGATACCATTCAAAGAACACTTTCTGAAAGGATAGGCCCTGGACAGTCAAAGAGTCTTCTTGGGTACAGCAGTGCTCACAGGTGCAGAGAGCATAACAAGTCTTTAAAACTAACAAGAAACAGAAAGCTAACCAAAATGATGAAATGAAAGAGCTCTCCTCCAAAGAAATTCCAAGAAGAATTTACAGCTAAAGAACTGCTCAAAACAGATATAAGCAGCATAAGTGAACAAGATTTTAGGACAATAATCATGAATTTAATCACTGGGCTTAAAAAAAGCATAGAGGACATCAAAGAAACTATGACTACAAACAACATGGAGAATAAAAATAGGCATGATGAACTAAAAAATGCGATAAATGAAATACATAAAATGGAGGTGTGCAATGCACGTATTGAAGAGGCAGAAAGGAGAATAAGTGATTTAGAAGACACAATTATAGAAAAACAAGAAACTGACA